AAAATTATTTGCACTTTATTACAACGCTAAACAAGTTCATACTCAATTCAAAGAATTAACTGACTACAACTTTCAATGTAAGTTATTACACAATATATATATAGAAATAGTAAATGAAATATGTATATAAAAAATTTGATATTTAAAACTAGTTTTACAGATGCTCATCATAAATATATGGATGCAGTGAAACTTCATCTCAATTGGCTGAAATCACATAATAACTCGTATGAAACAGGATATCATATTATAGCTGCATATCGTTCAGCACTTAATGAAATGAAAGAAATATTAGTCAAAAACATGTTAAAAAATGATACATATTTAATGATTACAGCCATGCTTTTTTTGTGTCATGTACGTATAATCTATTTAATTCGATGGATTTAATCATAATAGATTAAACATTATATATATATATATATCTGAAGAATTTTTTAATTTCTATATTTTAGGTCTTATGGATATTATTACATGAACAATATTATTCATCAGCAATTTTTCAAAAAGTATTGAAATTATTTGCGATACATTTATTTTTACTAATAATATTAATTCTTTTCTGGAGTATTGAAACTCTAAGCTTATCTCTTTTTAATAATAGAACAAATTGTATATTTATATTAAGTATTATTGGATTATTGTTTTTAAACTGTTATTTTCTCGCTAAAATCGAATATCATCATTTTATATTGACAAAGGTATGTAATATAAATAATTATTACATATACATATTTTTCCAATATTAATACATCAATTTTTTACCAGTTAAAAAACTATAATACATTCGAATGGATTTTTATCTCTGAAATAATAATACATTCTATAAGTCTAAGTAGCAGTAGTTTTGTGGAAGAAGAACATCAAACTTCGTATTTCTTTTGGGTTTCCTTCCTCGTGTTGTTGCTTTGTAAAAATAGCAAAATATTTACAATGGAATTTTTAAAGTAAACCATTTTCACAATCTAACTTTTAATTAAATAAAATAAAAAATATATACTTAATCTATGTTAATTTATATTTTTAGGATACGCGTAGATAGCACACAATATCTAATCTCTATTGAAATATTATTATTACTCATAGGGCACAGAATCTGTCGAACGTTAAACAGTACTGGTAATAAATATAATCATCTTCCTGATATCGCAGGATATTTATTAAAAGAAGAATCAAAAATCAGCATAACGATCTTTGTTATTTTAGGTAATTATTCGTATATGTGTCTATATCAGGGCTTCTTATATAGAGTTATATGGGAGTCATGAAAAATATTTGCTCGAATAAAGGGAATCGTCAAGTGAAAAAGTTTTAGAAGCTTCGATCTATATTATTAATAAAACATTTGTTATAATTTATAAATTTCTTGTTTTAGCTCTCACGCTTTTAATATGGATTGATTTTTTACATGAAAAATCAATTTATAGATGGTGCAGTTTATTTTTGAATATAGGATTGTCCTTATGCATTTATCTTCGTCACATGAACAATCAAACTATTCTACCTACATCACTATACTCTCCATCTAAGTAAGTATTCTTTAAGTTGTGTCTGATATATATATATACATCATATAAAAAAAATATCATATTATTTCAGAGATGGAAAAGAAATATTGATATTTTGGAGCTTATTTACAATATTCTGTATATGCTCTATATATAGATTACTTTTAATAACAAAACACAACAAAAATAATTTCTTGAATTATGCCATACTTTTTCTTGTACAAACATGGATTATGGTATCGGCATTGTTACACCGACCGTACAATTTAATATTACTTCCATTACAATTAATAGTTATTTCTATAATTAATTCAATATTAAAACATAATAATATGAGAAAGATGAATATAATTGTAAATGCCTGGATTGGAAATGTGTTTTACTTTTATCAGGTATTCATTTAATTATTTTTATTTTTAAATAATTCAGGAATATAATTAATGCAATATTCCTTCATTAATTTATATTATATTTTTTTTTATAGGGAAATTCTAATAGTCTTGCTGATATCGATATTGCAGCTGGTTATGTTGGTTTGCAATCATACAGACCATTTATTATCGGAATGTTTTTAATAGTAAATACATATTCTGCACCAGTTTTAGCTTATCTCTTAAACATGTATCACAGAACATTATCATACAAATCGGCTTATAAGTAAGTATATTCTTTATATTATTAATAAATCCCTTTATTATAAAATCGTATATATATAACAAAACTATTTTTCATTTATTTTTAGTTTACATTATATACTATTATTCGACAACAGAATTTATATGATATGGAAGTTAATACCAGTTACTATTTATACGTTTGTAATGACAATACAAAAACATCATTTATTTATATGGAGTGTATTCGCACCTAAATTATTATACGAATCAATGTATTTAGGTGTTATGAGTTGTACTGTATTGTTTTTACAAACAATTATTTTAATACAGCATATAATAAATAAGTACATGAAATAAATTTATATCGTGTAATATACAATTTTTTATTCTTTCATTGGAAAACATTAATATATTAGATAATTTTTATATAAAATTTATTTTATTATTTGTTTTTAATTTCGATAGAAACCATGTCGTACGTTATGTTTCGAAAAACAGTCTATAGTGTATAATACAAAATTATTAAGCCTTCGATGGTCTATTAGCTTTGGTGATCATCCATCCAAACGATGCAAAGGTATATTTAATTGACTATAAATAATCTTATCTTTTCACATGTATTACGTATTAAATCGGAATATACTTTAATTGTGCGTGAACATTATAGCACACACACGCACACACACACACATTTATTATCATTTTATTTATTTCCAATAATGTACAAAAGAAAAACAAAAATAGATTCATAAAATTATTTCATTTTTAAAATTCCTCGACAATACTTTGTGCGGCAATACAATAGAATTTAATAGAACTTTTTCAGGTGCCAAAGTAACGCTTGTGCCTGAAATGTACGTAAATTATTGGTCAATTGTTTGTAGCATATAAAATTATATTGTAAGTGAAATTCTCAGATTATTACCAAGTATCGTGATGGAAGGATTTAATTTGCCATTGATATTGAAGAGAGGTAAATTTTCCATCTTAGCAAACGGTTTGTCAGGATTTGGATCGCACAGAGTACCTTCAACACGTGCCCATTCTCCCACGCGACTACCTTTTCCTATTATACTATTTAAAATAATGGTGTGTGCTTGAATCTGTGCATTGGCCAAAATAATTGATTCTTTTATTCTTACACCAGCTTCGATAACTGTATTCATTCCTATACTAACATTTGGTCCTAACTGTAACAATAAAATGAATTAACAATATTCTATTTTATTAAAATAGTTTTTAGAGAAATTTTATATTAATATCACCAAAGCAGATGGATGAACAGTAGCTGTTGGATGAATGTATACATCTCCAATGATATTACATTTATTTGCACTTGGAGAAGTAAGATAACCCGGATTTTTAGTTTTATATAAAGATAAATAATGTCGATTTGCGTAAATGGCAGATCCTGCTGTTTTTAACTGCGACCACCACCTTTGAACGGGTAAAGCAAACAAACATCCATTTCCTGCTAGTCGTGTTATTATATCTTGTTCCAATGCAATATTTGCAGGATCTCTACCATTTTCATTTAATTGTCTGTCTCATTAAAGAAAACAAAAAAGAAGTTAATTATATTAGAACATACAAGTATAATAAAATAGCGATAAAGCTTGCAGTAAATATTCGTATGACAATGATACCTACAAAAAATTTTCTTGTTGTTGACTAGCATTAAAAACATCTGCCATGGATTGAAAAATATTAGGAGATGTAATATATATTCCACAATTAATAAGAGTAGATACAAACGTCGATGGTTTTTCGACGTAATGTGCCACTTCTCCATCCTTACCCAAAACCATACAACCGTAATTTAACGATTGCTGTCTAGTAGCTTCCGTAGCCATGATAGTTAACAATGCCTGCTTTTTACTATGAAATTCTACGAGCTCTGGCAAGGGAAAATCGGCGCATACATCTCCGTTTATAACAAAAAAATATGTTGGACTACCAGAACGTATTTGATCTCGGAAATGATACATGCCTCCGGCTGTACCTAACGGTGTGAATTCTTGTAAGTATCTAATAATTACACCGTATGTACTTTTCATATCCATTATGAATTGTGACAATTCGTTAGCAGGATATGAACCAATAATTAAAATTTCTTCTAAGTTAGGTACTTCAGAGCATGCTTCAATGTGATGTTGAATCATTGGTAAACCAGCAACTGGAAACAGTGGTTTAGGTATATCTAATGACAGTGGTCGAAATCTGGTGCCTGTTAAAATAAATACAATTATAATTATTAAAATATATTATTAATTATAGCTTTGTGTGTATAAGTAGGAGAAGAAAATTGTTTAGGTTAGCATACCTTTTAAAGGGCCACCAATTAATATAACAGCTTTTAACATCATTTGTTATTAAAATATATGGTTAATAACAAATTTACAAAATATTTTAACAAATGTTATAATTTTTATTAAATAAAGTTGTAAATAACTTATATGTCAAATAAACTTGAACAGAAATTATTCTTTAATGCTAATAAAAGTATATTATTATGAATGAATAACTGTAAATAAAACACATTTGTGAACGTATATGTACAAAAACGGAACACTTATCTACACAGATAAGTATACATTCGACTACGTTGCATCAATTGGCAACATTTTGAACATAACCTTAAAATTGTCGAAATATATGTAGACGTTAGATATATATGTACTCAAAATTATTTATTGTTTGGATTTTTATAAACAATACTATAATAGATATATATATATATATATATATAT